CGAAGAGATCAAATTATTGTTGGGGATAATTCAATAACAGCTGAATATTGGTCGGGACATGTCCCTTCCGTCCATGCCAAATCTACGCCCTTGGCTGCAGGGGAGGAGTGGTGCAGTGAGCTCAAGGGGGCGGTACCAGGAGGCAAGTGAGCTACAGGTGGTGGCGATTGACTGATCACGGTGTCTCTTTCCGTTTCTGTATATAGTGAAAGCAGTCGAGTGGAGACGAAGAGAGCTGGACTGGAACAGACCTTGTTCCTTGAGTTCAAAACTGTCAATAAAATGCAATAATAGTAAGCACAATCATTGTGTGTGTCGTGTACTTTTACACTAACATTTTTGATCCATGTGTGAAAGATAAAACAAAGGAAGACTGTTTGCTGCCTCGGTCATACAGCAGATGCAGGCAGTAATATCCCACTTTTAGCTCAGTGGTGTCGAAGTCCAGGCCTCGGGGGCCGGTGGCCTGCAGGTTTTAGATAATACCCAGGGTCAACACACCTAAATCAAATGATTAGTTCATTACCAGGCCTCTTGAGAACCTCAAGACACGTTGAGGAGGTAATTTCGCCTTTAAATCAGCTGTGTTGGATCAAGGACATCTAAAACCTGCAGGACACCGGCCCTCGAGGCCTGGACTTCGACACCTGTGGTTTAGTCCTTCCTCTCTTCTATATCATAACAGTGAAAAGCAGAGTGAGACCTTACCATTACTCTTTTCTACAAACAGAAATATAGTAAATGTAAACCATAAGGATTCTTTGACAAAATTCTACAGTATATATAGTTAGGCCCATACGTTTTTGACTGATGATTGATTATTTTTTTTAGCTTTTCCTCCACACACTTCTGTCAAAAAATAAGAAATAAAAAATCAAGAGGGGATTAAAACTAACAAATTGTAAGCCTTAAAGCAATTCTGTGGTCAGGTGAGGCCTGTTTCCAATTTATTTCATGACAATCTAAGTAGGTTAAAAAATAACCTGGAGTTGATTCCAAACTTTCCGCAAATAAAGGGAGGAATGTCAGAAGGAAACAAAAGGGGCAGCATTGTTGCAATGTCATGGTTAGTCATGTTGATGTTCAAGTTCAAGTTCAGGCAGCTTTCATTGTCATTTGAACCATGTACAGTGGTACAGTACAAAGAGGAATGAGACAGCATTCCTCCAAGACCCTGGTGCTACAGATGACACATAACAGACAAACACAGGACTGCGTAAAGTGGAATGTGCAAAATTGAAAAATAGAAAAGGCAAGACAGTGCATGACTATACAGAACAGGACGATAGAGACACAAGACAGTGCAATGGCGCCACCAGTCATCTTTGTTAAATGGTAAGTGGACTGATTCTTATATAGTGCTTTTCTACTCTCCCAGAGTACTCAAAGCGCTCTATACAACATGCCACATTCACCCAATCACACCCATTCAACCAAGCACTTTCTTCTACTCTTAGTGCTTCCTAAATACATTCAGACACATTCATACTCTGATGGAAGCATCTGAGAGCAATTTGGGGACTTAGTATCTTGCCCAAGGATACTTGACATGCAGACTGGAGGAGCCAGGGATCGGAGCAGGTCACCTGCTGATTGGAAGGTTAGTGGTTCGATCCCTGGCTCCTCCCGTCTGCATGTCAAGTAAGGGAGTGATGTATTTGCAAAGTCATTATGAGCATTACATAATCTGTCCTGATGGTTGTAAATGTAGACCAGCTGAGTCACTGTTGACGTGAGTATTGTCTATTACAATAATGATATTTATATGACTGAATCAGAAGAGCACAGCCTGTCACAGTGGACAATGGGGTTTCTCTTTACTGCAAATTCATAAGAAATAAGGTAATAAATACTTTGTAGAAAGCAGGGTCATGTATGCAATATGTGTTTTGTAATAGATTAGTCAAGGAATTATTTCTAAGATTGTTATTTCAGCCTACACAAACACACTTCAGCCCGAAGTTCAGAGAATTCATCCAACACGTGATTCCCACACGTGCATCACAAAAAAGAATGTTCACTGTTGTACACTGCCTCCACAGGAATTAAGTAGCAGCTAGGTGCTGCTATTAAATATATTGATCATCAGCAAGTATGAGCACCTCTATAAAATCTGAGGTTTTTACCAGTTTTCTGGTCTGGAGCATCATTTCTAAGAACACACTGGGAAAAAGAGTGGGAAAGAGAGGGAAAAAGAGTCCTCTTTCTAAGAACAACACAGACTTCTCATACACGCACATCGCGGTGTATAAATTCAGAACTTCAGCCGCACTATTCACTCGTGAAAATCTGAGCTCAGTCTTCACAGCCCGTCTTCTTTTTGTCTCATTCATTACTTCAGGTGCCAACACGTCTGCTGAAAAGCATCTCGCTAAAGGTAAGACTTTAAGATATTACTGCGTTAAGTGAAGCCTCTGAAGTG